TGGTGATGATGATGTGGATCTTGATGATGATGATCATGATGCTGATAATGATCATGAGGAGGATGATGTTGATGATGATGATGATGATGATGATGATGATTATCATGATGCTGATGATGATGATGATGATGATGCTGATGATGATGATGATGATGTTGATGATGGTGATGCTGATGATGATGATGAGGATGATGATGTTGATTATGATGCTGATGATGATGATGATGCTGATGATTATGATGATGATGATGATGATGATGATGCTGATGATGATGATGGTGGTGATTGACTCATTGTGTGTAACTAAGGGAGGCTGGTCGGAGTTCTTATCATGAGCATGCACGGGTGTTCTGATTCGGGTATTTATTTTGGGGGTATTGTTATACAAGGGTGAGTCGCTCAGATATACGCTGTCTGTTTGTGGATGCAAGCAGAAATAATCCGATATGATTCTCGGTGTCTTTGTTTTTGTGGTGCGCAAGTTTACAGGTGCCCGGTAAACGAGGTAGAGAATGGAGTATGATCGACTCGCTCAAAGAATAACACATTCCGTAGTGTATTTGCGATAACTCACAGGCAAGGCACTGAAATTTACTGATTCTTTCCGGGAACAATTCTGCTTCACTATCAAAAGAGTCAGTTTTAAAATATCAGTGAGGTCCGCTTTGCAAATACTTTGAATATGCTGTGCACGTGACTTTTACCAAATATTCGATTGCAACAATGGAGTAAAGAGGGACGGAGAATGTACGTGTTTCGGGAGTGGGTTATGTGCCTACGATGAGGAAAACTGCCAGGTTTCGGGGGAACGCTCAGATTACTCGGTTTTGGGTAATTTGAACAAAGGATTACAAAAAACACTCTCACAAACAACCTAAACTTAGATCCTTTGGTGTGGGGGTCAAAAGTTCAAACCGAAAAGTGCATCACGACCATAGAGAGCAGCACAAACATGTGGGCGTGCAGCTGCAAAGGTGTAACCGATCGATCACTAAAATCCTAACTTCAAAGTTGTTGTCACTTCTACGAATGAACGACCAGAAGAGAGAAATTGAGAAAGGAATATGGATGGTCCTCGGAGTATGCACTGTATTGTTTGATTTTGCTCTCTAAAAGTTTGAATTTGATTCTGTTCGTGTAAATACCCACCTGTCACTGATATTCGTGTTGCCATCAAATCCGGTAATCGGGTCACCCAACTTCATATACCGGTTTATAGGTTTTCACTGGATTGACTGATCATTTAGATGATTCAAGCAAGTGAATACCAGTAGACCGGTTTGTCAGTTGTCACATTTGTTATGGCGATGTCATAGTCCAAGAATGATTACTTGTGTATCCCATTCACCTCCGGTCATTTGTACACAGTACCACTTTTGTAGTGAGCCTGTGGTACAGTTTCGTTTTTA